CCTTTGAAAACTAAATGTTATCTACCTAAAAACAAGTAGTATTATAAAGATCAACTCTTTTAATAATAAACATAATTACCTACTTACTTCAATGATTTGTAAAATAATATCACAATTTCGTAAATTAACACTTAAGATACTAGTAGATATTAAAAAATATGTGATTCAAGATCAAATGGACTCATTATCTATCTATCCTTTACTTAAATATGATTATCTAAAATAATCTATATATAAAAAGGATTTATATAATACAGTTTATCAGTTTCATCAAAAAAATAATTCAGAAAATATGGATGCCTTCCAAATACTTGAACTATTAATAAAATAGAAAGATAATAAATCTTACTAGATTATAAAACTTTAGTTAGATTCTGTTTCAAAAAAATTAAACACCCTCTTATGAATGTCTTTTATACAAAGGGAATCATATAATAAATACAATGATATTACAATTATTAATATCACTTACAATACTAACTAATTTTAAATAATGCTTTGCATTATATTTGTAGTTAATAATAACTACAAGTCACGAATTATTATATCTCCCATAATTGATGATGAAATATTAAATACTTATTGATAGTTATTTAATATTATACTTACTAAAACAAGTATTTTTCTTGAAGTTATTTTTACTGACTCAGATTCTTCTATAATTTGAGCAATTAAAGAAATTTATCTCAATACCCACCATATGTTGTGTATTTTTCATATTGATTTGAATCTTCAGAAAAAGTTTAAAGGTAAATTAGGTAATAAGTTTGAGAAATTTTGTCATAAATTCTATATATATAGAAATTTTCTTTGTAAAGACTTATTTAAACTTTGATAGAATCAATTAATCAATCAATATACAGCATCAGCAAAATATTTATCTGATACACTTTCTGTTAATAAAAATTTGTAAGCAATACTTTAAATATATAAAAGATTTACTACTAGATCACAAAATATACAGAAAATTGAATCAATCAATAAATATATATATAATAAAGTTAATTGAGTTACTTCACTATGCTATCTACTATTTAATATCAAAAATCATATTAAAAATGAAGAATATCTTGAAAATTTTGAACTTGAACAAAATGCTATACCTAAAATTAGTATGCTGATACTGAATGCAAGATCCTTTGATCTTATAGATAATATTATAAAAGTCTTTTAACATCTGTAATGCTTGGAAAACAAAAATCGTAAATGAATCAATCTGTATATTATAATATTAATTAAATTATAAAATGAAAATCTTGATAGATGTAAATTAAAGTTTAGGTTTGTTAGTATTGAATTATATAAGCTTAAACTAATAATTTCTCATAAGTAGAGAATAATAATAAGAAAATAAGTAATGGAATCAAGGAACAGGAACAGAATATACAGTAAATTCTTTTCTAATCATTAATTAAAGATATATTATCAGAAGCAATTCTAAAAGTATAGTTTGTTCAAATAACTGAAACTCAAGAAATTGGTTATTATATAACTCTGCTTGATAATAGAACATATTTATATATCTACCTTCTCTTAATCAATAAAGAATTAATATGCTAGCACTTTTTTGTGTTAGTATCTATTCTCAACATGCAACATTTCATATTAACATTATTCTAAACTGATGATACCTAGTTTAATTAAATAATTTTTCACAATATTCTTCCATTCTGATATGTAATATACAAATTGATAATAGAATAAAGATAGAAAAAAATATTATCTTTCAACACTTTTCATTTCATGTTAATTTACATAGTTTCTATTTAGCTATAAATTCAACTAAAACTATTTATGTTGAGTTGTCTGAATTATCAAAGAAGATCACTGATTATACAATTAAGGCTAATATACAATATAAGTTAGTGAATCTACTCAAAGTTTTTATTTATGATATGCATAATAAGAATGTTTCAAGAAATTCCAGAAACTCAAGAAACAGAAACCTTTATAAATATTAATAATTCTACTATTACAAAACATAAAGAACAACCTTTAAAAAGATTTAAATCAAGTGTAAAAACTTTAGAAAAATGTGTATTAAGGGATAATACAAAAGTTAATATAACAGAGGATGAAATAAGAAGGCAAAAATATGAAAAATGTAAATAACATTATCATTATATGAAGATATATCAAAATAGCTGTTAATATTATTTTTAATGCTTATAGTATATATATACATTTAATTACAATGTTTATAGTATAAATACGCATTTATTTCTGATATTTATAGCATAGATGTATATTAATTTTTACATAAATTTTATAATAAAAAAATTAATTTTTTTACATATTTAGTTATATGAAAATGATAATTACGTGATGTATATTCAGACACCCTGTATACAAATAGAAATTGCCTAATTAATATTATCTAATAAAAAATACACTTTATAAAATATACAGTTAAACAAGTCTGCTTTGAAAATTCATAAGTAGAATATAGGAATTACAATTATAACAATTTTTATGTCTTAAAAAATTAATTAATTTTTCTAATGATAAAAGTACAGAGAATACTTTATAAAAAATTTTGGATTTATAATAAAATTTATTTCTTTTATTTATATTTAAATTAAGATTTAAGCAGATAGATATATTTTAGCAAAATATTAAAAAATAAAAAATTCAATTTCAACTATCCAAAAAGTCTGTTCTTAATAAAAATATTAAAAATAGTTTCATAAACAAATTTATAAAAAATATTTTAAGAATTTTCACTTTATTAAACTTTATGAATATTTATAATAAATATTTTTACAATTTAAGTTTAGACATAATTTTAATCTATTATAAATAGCTGCAATAAAAATTATTTTTAAAAATTGTTATAAAAAATTATTTATATATTTAAACCTTTTTATGAAAAATTGTTTTAAAAATAAATTAAACATTATTTAAAAAAGGAATTTAAAATAATAGAAATTTTAGAAAAATGCTCAATTCAAAATATTGGAATTTAGAAATGTGACTTTAAAAAAATATATATTCAGAAAAGTGACTTTTGAAAAATCGTCTGATAATGGTTTAGAACTGTAATTTAAATTATAAGTTAAAATATAGTTTAACATATTATAGTTTGAAATATTTAAACTACTTAGTATCAATTTAATTTCACACTGCGATTAAATTAATTTCACTTAAACTGATACTATTCCTAGTATTATAGTATAGTTTATAGCAGCTTTATTCTAATGAAAAACTTTAATAATAAATCTTTTTCTACTTCTTAAAATATTTAAAATTATCTTCTATTTAATCTTTAACATTTCTATTTTCTAATGATTTTTAATAACTTTATTTTTTGATTATCTTTAATTATTTTATCTTCTATCTATTCTTTAATAATTTTTTTTTAATAGCAAATTTCTATTGGTTTAATAATTTTTCTATGATAAGTTCCTTTAAAATAACTTAATTTTTGATATATAATGACATTTTTTCTTATTATTTTACTAATTTGTTATTTTTTTTATTTTATATGAAATATTAACTAAATTAAAAAAAGTTATCTGCTAAAATATAATTTTAATTTATTTAAATTAAAAAGTCAAATAATTTTCTAAGTATATAATTTAAGCTGATATTAAATTATTTTAAATTTTTATCTAATAAAATTTTATACATATGGTTTGATTTGTTTAAATTTTAAACACTTATAATTTTTTATGTATATCTTTTTTGAAAATCTAAATGGTAATTTAAACTTTATTTTTTTAAGATTTTTAAGTTTTACAATTTTTATTTTTGAGTTAACTAATAATATATAAATATCTCTTTTTATAATATAAATAGAATTAAAAAATAAATTAAATATTAAAGATTAATAAATATATTAATATTATAAAAGAAAAGAGATAAGAAATTTAAAATTTTTACTAATATAAAAATTATTTAATTGAAATAAATGTTTATTATTAAAATCTATTTTTATTTAAATTTTTTTTTTTTAAATATCTTTAAAGATTCTTTATATTTTTAAATAAGAAAATAAATTATTAAATAAAATATATATAAATATAATAATACAAGTGAATTGTTGAAATTTAAATAAAACTTGTTATATAGTTTTAATAATTAGGTTAATATTAATAGAAATTAATATAAAATTTTATTATTAGTATTCTAAAACCTTTTTTATTTTAATATAATTTTTTAATAAAGGACTTTATATAATAAAATAAATTTTGAATATATAATTTAATAAATAAATATTATTAATATTTAAAAGTTTTTTTTTGCAATTATTATATATATTACTAATCATAAAAGTAGTTTAAATATAATTTAATTTTTTTATCTTTAAATACAAGTCTTATATTATTTATCTTTTTATTAAAATGCAAGGAAATTAAAGATGTAATAAGAATAATAATAGTATTTTATTTTAAATATATTAATTTTACTAGCACTTACACAATAGAATACATATTTTTGATATTTTGATTAGATACTTTAAATCAGATAAGTATACAGATTTTTCATATTATAGTTAAATTAATAGAACAAGTTAGTAGAATTTTCAAAAAGAAAATAGAGGAAAGATCAGAAAGTAATAAAATTTCACCCAAAAAGTTTTACCGTGATTGGCAAAAAGCAATTTTTCCGAAATCGATTATAAATAATTATTTATTTAAAATAAAAATTATTTAAAGGAAATTACTGTCTGTACATACGTAATTAATTTTATATTGTAAAAATATATATCATCATGTAATGATCATTAACCGTTCTATAAAGAAGCTAATTTTGATATGTAAAGAAAAAAACGGATTTCTAATGTTCATTCTCAAGATTTTTCTTTACACAAGTTCTGCAATGACTTAAATTAGTAAAAGAACAATCCGGGAACCGGAGTCCGGTACCTGTGTGCATGTAAATTATGCATCTCACTGATTATCGGGTTATGAAACTCCGTCAGTAAAAAAATTCTCTATAAATTCAATCAAAATTCTTATTCATTCCGTTAAAAATTTTCGGAAAATAAAAAAATAAAAATGACACTTGCATTATACGTAATAAGACATGGAGAACGTATAGACCATGTAGAGCCAAGTTTTCTTTACACCTCAACAACTCCATATGACCCACCATTAACCCCAAGAGGAAAACGACAAGCAAAGCAAACCGGAACCTTTATAAATACACTTCAACAAGAAAACGTTTCAACAAAAAGGAACGTAGAGTATAACATTACAACGAGCCCGTTTGTACGTACGACCGAAACAGCCATTAATATTGCAAAAGGAATATTTGAGTCAAAGCCAGAATCAAAGATAAAAATTAGAATCGATTCATCATTAGCAGAATGGCATAATTCAGCTTATTATGCTCAAGCTGTACCAAACAATATTATTGATAAAAGATTTGAAGAATTACGTGAAAAGATTGGTAAAGAAAATGATGAATATCCCTTTGAATTTGATGAATCTTATACACCAGTATCTAGTATACTTCCTAAATATCCCGAAGGAATACATGAAGTAGTTAAAAGGTGTCAAAATGCTTTATTAGAAATTTCTTCTCCATATATTCAAAAAATTAAGCAAGATAGAAAATTAAATACCGATGTGGTATTGATTCTTGTTACTCATGGGTTCTGTTTTAATATTATTCAAGAAGCTTGTTCTAAAGTTAACAGTTGGAGAGATGCTGGTTACTGTGCAGTATCCAGAGCTAAATGGATACCGAAAGAAGATGATGAAGTTCCTGATATACAAATTACCGTTAGTAATGATGAAGCAGATTGTGAGAAAAGTGAAATTCAAAGAAAAAATGAAGAAGCTATTAATGTTTTAAACGCGGCTAATCCTAATGGAAGATGGAATTTAGATGTTATTGTCCATACTGATCACTTGAAAGGAATTTAATGTTATTAATTCATCTTATTTAAACAATTTTTTTTTTTTTTTAAACAAAACCAAACAAATAAAATTTTTATTTCTGCTGTAAATTTTTGTGTCGTCGTGGCTGATATCTTTCATAGTTTGTCACGTACCGTGGCTAATACATTGCTCATGAGGCTTATGACTATTATAACATCTAAGCCATACGTCATATATAACTTCGCCTCGTTCAAAAAAAAAAGGATCTCCTCCTGATAGCAAGAGTCGAATCAATCTTCGGTCTCTTTTTTTTTTAGCTAACGGTTTTCTTTTTTAAGAAAAGCATAGAAAGAGGGACTTTCAAAATTTAAAAACCTCAACGAATATAAAGAAATAATGCCAAAAGAGGTTAACGTAGATACAACAACAAAAGGAACAACGACAGTTAATAATTGTTTAGAACCAATCGCGGTGCAACCCATTGCGGTACCACTGTCACCAGTCATAGCACAACTTCACCAAACAAACACTTCACCACTAAATAATAACGGTCTTGTTACATATTCAAATACGAGCAATACAGGGCAGACTTTTAAAAACAACACCGGGTTAAAGCAAGGCGCGACCTTCACCTCTCATACGGACTTTGTAGTAGCAGTTCAAGAATTTTCCACGAGAAATGGCTTTACTATGCGTTTAAATACTGTAAAACGTAATAGGGAAGGAATTGTTAGATGGAGAGAGATAGTTTGTTCACGCTCTGGTACTCCAAGTAGTAAAAAATCTGGTATTAAACCGATACGGAATCGTCCTTCACAACGTTGTGATTGTCCTTTTCTAATTCGTGCTTCCGTTAATGCAAACACTGGTTTATGGGAAATCATTTCCACAAATTTATCTCATAATCACGAAATTAACAACCATCTCAACAAATCTGTTACAACCGCGAATTCAATTAATGAAGGAAAGGGTTCTTTTGATGTCAATTCATCATCAATGATGTCATCATCATCATCATTTACTACTGAACTACCGCCACCACAAATCTGATTATCAACTCTTGTGTAATCACCAAATGGTAATACGAACATAACGTGATGCTTTTTTTTTGGCGTAGAAATTTTTTGAGGATTTCCACAGATAATTAAAAGACACTTATTAATTGTTTATTGGTTATTTGTTGTAATTTGTACATGTCCATTTGTCAGGTTCGGTTATAATTAAACATCACGTTTTTAATAAGGTTTTAAAATATTAGGGGGAAAAAAAATACACATTTCAAAAGATTAAAGGGAGAATGTTCGCAAATTTATATCAAGAAATATCCATGATTATACGGTTTTACTTATAGTATCAAGTTTAAATGCTGTAATTATAGATTTCTATTATGACAGGAGGGGGGAAAAAAAAATACAAATTAATTTTCATGACATATATATATATATATTTTTGTATCCTTGTTGAAATGTCATGTGAAAAAAACTTCTCGGGAAAAGAACAATACAAACCATACTACGATCCCATCCTAATCGATCCCAGGTGACCTTTGCACTTTTAAGTGTTTTATTTGTTATTTGGTCCAGTTGAACATCATCAACTTTAACATTTTTAGGTAATCTAGAATTTTCTCTGCCATTTTTAAAATAAACTAAAGCAGGCAAATCTAAACTTGTAGGTGATAATGAAATGTCGTATTCTTGAGCCACGTTTGGATAGAAATCCAAATCGATTTTGCCAAAATGAACATCTGTTGTTGTATACCTTTATTATTTTTTTTAAAAAAAAAAAATAATAATCTTTTTTTCGCTGATGTTTTAATAAAGAAAAAAAACATATAAAGAATATATTACTTACTTTACAGATGTTTTTGCCACCGTTGATTCGAAAATTCTACAAGCCGGACTCCATGTAACGTAAAAAAATATTATCCAATGTTGATCGACTTGTTCTTTACCTTTACCGTTTTCACTTTGTTTAATCTTTTCATGTTCTTCATCTGTGATTTCTTTAAATTTATGAAGTTTATATCCACCACGTTTAATCTCATTTAAATCTTGTTCACTTAATTCAATTATTTTCGTAGGTCCCTGATATGAAGGTTGTGGCAAAACTGCAAATAAAGCTAAAAAAAGGAAAAAAATTTTAATTCTAAATCATTCGAATGATACGGTATAGATCGCGAAAAAGGAAAACTTTTGATTACCACTCCATGATATTGCGTATAAAATCGCCCACAACGTTTTACCAAATAAATATAACATTATTACATTCAATAATTTTAGATATAAAAAGGATACTGATAACCATTCTTCTGCGCTGGCTGTAGATTTAAATTTTAACAAAATAAGAGCCCCAATTACAAAATATACAGTTGTTTCTGATGGCTAACCATTTATATTTGATCGAATTATAATTATTTGAATATTTATTTAAAAATCAAATTAAAGACTTTGAGTTAATTAATACCTCAAGAGAAAAATCCAAAATAAAATTTAATGCAGGTACATAACGAATAATAAAAAATGTGGAACAAAATAACAAATTTATGATATAATAAGGGAGAAATAATCTCTGTTTAAGTTCCGACACCAGCGTCATTTTTTTAACAGATTCTACTAAATTACACAAATATATAAAAATGAACAAATTAATATAGATCGCGAAGAAGGGGAAAATTTTTTTTTTTTTTTTTTTTAATGGATGCACAATTTAATAAAGTATATTACCCCAATTGGTGAAATAATCATATGATTGTATTCCCCCAAAAATTCAGAATCTCGGACATCGTTTCGGACAACTCAATTTAAAAAGCAGGTTTTGAGTTTTTTTGTCGCGACTCTCTTTATAATGTCTGTTCAACATTTTGATAGTTTACATGATGATTTAATACACGATGTTGCTTACGACTTTTATGGAAAGCGACTTGTAACCTGTTCTTCCGACCAAAAACTTAAAGTATGGGAAATGAGCCCAGATACGAACAATTGGGAACAAATTGATTCTTGGAAAGTATGTTAACTCTTAATTCTAGTTATTTTTTTTTTAATTTAATTATAACGTAAACTTTGAATCTTTTAGGCACATGAATGCTCCGTACTAAAAGTCGTTTGGGCTCACCCCGAGTTTGGTCAAGTAATTGCTTCGTGCTCTTTCGACCGTTCCATTCGCATTTGGGAAGAACAAGAGCATGGTATTCAATTGAATTAACGCGATAATTTAATTATTTAATTATTTGATTTCATTAATTAAAACTTCAAGTATTTATTTAATTTTAGAACCAAAGAATAGCGGAAAACGTTGGTTTGAAAAAGCGCGTTTGGTGGATAGTAGAGGATCCGTTCAGGATGTCGAGTTCGCTCCAAACTTCTGGGGATTAAGATTGGTAAATTTATTAAAACTTGTTCAATAGGATTCATCTTAAATGTACATATTTTTAAGAATATCTCTCTCAGGCTTCAATTGCTGCAGATGGTGTTCTTAGAATATATGAAGCTCTTGAAGTATCCAATTTAGCACATTGGACTTTAATGGACGAAGTGAATGTTCATTTGTCTAGGAATTCTAATACAACCACTCTCAAAGAAGCAGAAGGAAATTATTGTCTATCATGGTGTCCGTCTCGTTATCAATCTCCAATGATCGTAATAGGTTGTGGCAAAGAGAATAACGCCAAAGTAGTATTCAATTAGTAATACGTGTTTTATTTATAATATAGAATTTATTATCTTTATTTTTTTTTAATTTTTTTTTTCTTTAAGATATTTCGTTACGACCAACATAATAAATGGCGTCCATGTGAAGTATTGGATGGTCATCAAGATTTAATTCACGATGTAGCTTGGGCTCCAAATATGGGAAGGTAAAGATTACAGAAAATATGAACTTATATGATCCTTTTTTTTTAATTGATTGTTTCTATTAGGAGTTATCATCTTATCGCAACTGCTTCAAAAGATCATCGAGTCAGGATTTATAAATTACTAGACAATAAAGATGGTTTCGCTATCGAATTAATATCGGATCTCAACCACAATACGGAGGTAATGTTATAATACCTAATTTATTTTTTAAAAAAATTCATTTTATTTTCGTGTCTATATATACTTATAAAATGTTTGATTCTCTACAGGTATGGAAAGTCAAATGGAATGTAACGGGCACTATCTTGTCTTCCGCTGGAGATGACGGAAAAGTTCGTTTATGGAAGGGTAAGAAAGGAATTGTTATTAAATTGCTATTATTATTATTCAATTTTATTAATTAAACATTTTTTTTTTTTTTTTTTTCTTCCAATTTCTACTAATAGCTAGTAATAAAATTGAAAGTGAAGGTTTTAAATGTATGGGCATCGTATGTAATGACCGACAAAGTAGTGATACAATGGAAACATAAAATAGATAAATCGAGCGCTTAAATCAATATGTATATGAAGAAATAATTTTATCTTTACACTCTATTATGTCCAATTAAACACCTGCTTTCATTTTTTTTCTTTATCTACGAGGAATTCCACGGCCACGACCTCTAAATGCTCGTTGTGCTCCACCTCTTGGCATTGGAGGACCAGACTGAGGTTTCTCTGATGCCGGATTTCTTACAGTTTCATCCACACTTAAAAGTAAACATGCTGCCTCTGCTGCTGCAGCAATTGCATTGGTTTTTACAAGTGCAGGCTCCCAGACAAATGCTTCATAATTATCAGTAATGGATTCATTATTGATATCCACACCATACCAAACAGCTCCTATATAGAAATATTAATTAAAATTTTTCGATATGATAAGAATATATAAAATTAAACTTTGACAATTAGTATTACCTTGGGCATGTTTCATTCTTAAATTATTCAAGATATCGGTGGCGTCAAAACCTGCATTATCACATAATTGACGAGGAATAACTTCCAATGCACGTGCAAAAGCGCTGATAATCAATTGTTGTTTGCCTTCAATGGTTCGAGAATGCTCTCGGAGATATTTGGATATTTCCATCTTTTATAATATTTCAACGAAAAAAAAATATCCAGTATAATTAGGTAATGAATGATTATGGAAAATAATTTGTTTAAATAAAGGAAATTTTCGAACCTCCGTTGCACCACCACCCGCAACTATCAAATTATTCTTGATGCATCTTTTTACTATCATGATTGCATCATGCAAACTTCTTTCAACCTCTGCAATAAATTGTTCCGCGCCACCTCTTAGAATAAGTGTACAGGTTTTTGCTGCCGGACAACCTTGAAAGAGATTAAATCTTTCACCACCAATTTGTTTCTCTTCGAAATATTCACACGTGCCTAAATGTTTTTCTGCGATATCAGAAACGGTGGTTTGAATTGAACCACCAACTGCACTTACGACACGATTAAGATCTTCAGCAGGTACTCGGCCTGCGCAAAAGATATCTCTGTCGGCAAAATATTGAGTTGCCAAATCACCAATCGGTAGTTTTGAAAGTACTACTTTAGCTCCAGTATTAACAATAGCATCGAGTTTGGAAAATATGATGGACCATTCAGCATCAACAATCGCTTGATATTCCTAATATTTATAAAGAATTACTATCATAATTAAGATGAATTTGATTTCATTAAGATTCGACACATACAGCGACATCTTCGACCCTGACTTCAGCATTGTCCTTTTCAGCTTTTAATTCTAATTCAACATTCAGTGACAAAATTTTAGGATTTTTGAAGGATTTTGGCTGTTGTTCAAATCCAGCATATGAAAACGTTTTTTTGAAAGCGACTCCATTAACGAGAAGTGAATCCTGCATAATGAAAGAGTTTGAATAAATAACTATGAAGTGAAAAATATATACATATTAATACGTTAAGCTTACTTCCATGGCACCGCCTGGAACTCTCTTTATACCAATCAATTTTTCATTTAATTCTTGGTCCAGCTTCAATACAGCATCAACGACCATTTTTGTAAAGAAATCTTCATGCGAGCGAATGAGCTTTGAAGACATGGCAGTTCTAGCACATTTCGAAAGAAGATCTCGAAATTGACTATAAATAATAATAATTAAAAAAGGTTGAAGAATTACAATATTTTTCAAAACAAAAGTTATTAAAACTTACGAATCATCAGTACGCTCAATCTTGATGGCAATTTCTTTAATTTTATTAATCGCCTATGCGTAAGAAAAATTAATGATCGTTACATAATCATTCCTGTAGTATAAAGAATTTTAATGAAAAAATGTTATACCAACTGAGCAGCCTTCCTATAACCCTTAATAATAACATGAGGACTGACACCCTCTTCGATATATCCCTTAACTTCCTTTAACAATTCACCTGCGAGCAAGACTACACTTGTAGTTCCGTCACCAACCTAAAATAAATTATATAAAATAGGTGAATCACGTGATAGAAACCCAGAAAATGACTTGTCAATATAAGATCGTACTTCAGCATCTTGTGATCTAGCAATGTCAACAAGCGTTTTTGCAGCAGGGTGTACAATGTCAAGAAGTTTCATAATCGTAGCCCCATCATTTGAAATAGTAACTTCTCCTATAAAGAATTTAACATTAATCAGGCATTGCATTTTAAAATCATGAATACCTCGACAGTACATACCCTTTTCATCAACAATCAATTTATCCATTCCTCTTGGCCCCAAAGTTGTTCGAACAGTATCTACTACTGCCAAACATGCATTGATATTGGATAAAAGTTGACCGCGCCCTTGCGAAGAATCTGTTCCCTCTTTGAGCAAGATAATTTGGGGTTGCTAATAAAATTTTGACAAAATATTGATTATAATTATAATAAATAAATATACAGAGGTTTAATAGTTTTATTTGTTATAATATTTATGATATTACTAAATAAATAACGCGGTGAAAAACGCGAGCTAATATTCACAAATCAAGTATCGCTCGGGAAATCAGTATTAAGAAGGCATACCATCATTGGAAGTCCTCGGCCAGCCATTTTGATCTAAAGCAAATGATGTTGGTGTGGAGTTAATAAATTTTTTTTTTTTAGATATCTATGTTCGAATCCACGTGATTTACAGAAGCCGATCACAGGTACACAATTCTTTATATATTAAAAAAACTATATCTGGAATGGAGATCTTTAATTTAATTCAAATCAAAAGAAAATATTTTAATTATAATTAAATAATTTCTTTAAAGAAATATATTCTAAACTAATTAATAAAAATTTATCTAATAAATTACTAAAAAATTCATTAGAAAAGTACTAATAAAAAAGAAAATTTTTATTTAAATAAGATTACAGTCAACTCTTTCTACAACGAATTTTGATATAACGAATTTTACAATACAACGGATTTTCAGTGTCGGACAGATTTTT